TGCATAACCGTTGCACCCTCCAATTTGATCACGACATAAATATATTTGAATATCATTCTCTATAGATGTAAATTTTTCTGACAGGAATTTGGTGGACGCTTCTCATTTTTCCAAAGCTGGTATTGTGACTTTGTCACTGAGCCGAGGCCACTAATTTGCGGCGAGGGTCAATATATCTCGTTTAGTTTTGAAGCTTATTTTGACGGGAGAGGCGACCTACGCCTTTATTTTGTTATCTATATAAATATCTTTCAATATTATATGTAATATACAGGCTGAAAGATAGTATTAAATCATATATTATAAACAACACCATATTCAGGTCGTTTAAGTTCTCAGTATGTGTTTGGTTATAAAAACAAGAAATAGTAATTATAGCCAAATACCCGAGAAGATTCCTTAACATATGAAGCAGATAAAAATCTCGGATTTTCCTGATGAATCAAAACGTATTCAAGCAATAATTCATATAATATTTTATATCTTTTTAGATAAAAAGCGCTTTGCCATTTATAATTTGTTTCTGAGCGGAAAGGGTAAATATTTTCCACTATTTTAACATCCTGATTGACTTCTCCCTCCTTACATATATTTTTCCCATCAGTTTCACATAATTACATATATATATATATATATTATATACATTCACTAGACGTGTGACCCGGGCTTCGCCCCGGGATTGACCGGTGTGCATATCTACCCGATTGATATATATTTAGATAAGATTTTTTCAAATAATTGTTTGTTATTAGCATTATCTAATTGTTTGTATCAGCATAATTTAATCTAATCTTTGATAGAAGGCGCTGTTCGTGAGCTAAGTAGAATAATTTGAATATATAGTTTTAATAATTGATTTATATATATTTTTAAATAGCCTATCGTCTTCCCGGTATTTTTTACCTATGTATGGAAATTTTGGTTTGAATTAGTGAACTACTGCGAATTTGTATGCCAGACATACAAACAAACAAACATACAAACAAACATACAAACATTGATTTTTATATATATAGATTTCCCAGAGCTATCGAATATTTAACAAATAGATAAAAATACAGTTAAAACTAACCAATTAAATAATAATAAAAAGCGGCCTTTGAGGATAGATTTCTAGCTTTCTTTACACATTCTCTCAAGCTATTATAAAGCCTTCTACAAGAGTGTAGCCATATACTTCTTTAGAAAGGTTTAAAATACCCAAAATCTTGGAAGAATTTATAAATAAAGCCAGAAACCTATCTTCGGAGAGGCCGATTTTTATTATTAGTTACATTTCAAAGGATTCGAATAAGCAATTCTATATAAATTAAAGGGTATTTCACCCATTTAATCAATGGTACAAGTACTAGATGATGATATAAAGGGTAAAAAAGGGGTTTATATATTTTTTGAAATCGCATAGAATTAATTAAACCTATACCTTTTTCGATTTTCTCTGAGCAGAGCACTTGGGATCAATCATTATAAAGAGATAGACTTTTAACCCAAAGCAATTACGCGCCATCTATACACATAAAATGAAAGGATTTAAAAGCACCAATGTTTCTTTCATACATAATACAAATGTGGTTCTACTGTCCTATAAGCTTATGTCCATAGTTTTCTTGAAAACCATTTCTGAAATTCTACCCTTTAGTGCTCTGTATATGAGCAGAATCGTCTTATACAGTCTTAGAGCTCTGAGAAGAGGTCTGGTGGATTAAATTGACGAAACCGCTGGGAGGGTTCACCACTGATGAGCCAAGCTCTCCCAATATATTTTTTCCTCGCAGTAAGGACAGTAGAAGTTTGTATTATGTATAAAAGAAACATTCGTGCTTTTAAATCCTTTAATTTTATGAGATTGACTTTTGTTTGATATTGCCAAAACTCGTTTTGTGGCTCATCGATTAATTCACTTTAAGAAGATGCATTGTTTCAGTATATATGATAAAACCCTTTTTGCATCTATTGCATCAAGGAGATGGGCCCATTTTTGCATATGTTTATCTATATTTATAAAGGTTACAATCAACAATTCTTTGTGTAGAAGTTCAGGAATTCACGAATATCTCCTTCAGCGAATAAAATTCGTTAATAAAAGGAAACTAAGCCCTAGATTCCTTTTAATTTTGTAGAACTATTTTACAAGCTTATATACACATATAAATTTTATATAGTTTTGTCAAGAGCGGTATAATAAATAAAGAATCTTTAATTTTTGATGAAATTCGTATTTAAGGGTTTTGGAAAAAAATGTTATATGTAAATTTTATATATATAATATGTAATACATAATTGAACATATTAATAGAAAATTTAATTAATTACAAGAAATATTACAGAAATCAATTTGCTTCAAGCCAATGATGGTTATAGACCAAAAGAAAATAAGTACCTCAAACATTTTCTAAAGAGAAGGAAAAATGGCGGTTGGTAGAAGACAAATCGATGTTTGAAATGGCATTTAATAATTTATATAGCGAAGGTCATAAATTATTTCTTATAACATCTTAAATTGTTATGGCTTGTTTAGAATCAGACCTGGCTATACTAAGATTTTGTTTGATACCAATCTAGATTCTATTTGCTAGAGATTATATTTCTTGTTTTTAATATCTTCATGTGAATAATGGTCGGTCTGTTTTTAATTCGATGTTTTGGCTTCATCTATTTATTCTCTCTTTAATTTTATATAGTGGACAGTTGTCTCTTTAAATGATCTCAGTTTTACTGATGACAATAATTATATATTTTCGATATTGATTTTCTTCTAGAAAAACTTACTTTTTCAATAAATATGTATTTACATTGGAGAGAGAGAGAGAAAAGAGAGATGTATTCAAGCACAAGAATAGCATTCTCTCATTTTTCTGATGAATTCAGATTCAGTTTGGGGTTAATCACGACAGTATGCATGTTAAAAATTAGGTCCCAAGAAGGATCCTATTAGGTCTTTATTGTTGAAAGGCATCCAGAAAGAACCCCTGGCTTCATGGTGTGGGTGGCAACAGCTATGAAATTAAGACTCAGTATAATAAATAGATAACCTTTAACTTCTGATGAAATTCGTATTTAAGGTTTTTTTTTTGAGAGAGAGAGAGAGAGAGATTGAGATTGAAACTGCTTTATTACATTGTTCATATAAGGTTAAAATATAATGAAAAATCATAAAATAAAATAAATATATATGAATAAATAAGATTATCAAAATTCTAATTAATTATAGACGCGTATGAATATTTTTAATAATAAATAATTTCTACTGCCCTTACTGCAACGGAAAAATCAATTTAAAATAATCATACGCGTCTATAATAGGTTCGAATTTTGATAACAGATGGCGCGCTAATGCATCATAAAATAAGATTACATAATGATAAATCAAAAATAAAGAAGGCAACACCTGACCCACTTATCTTCTATTTTTTCTATTGTTTTTTCATAATGATAAATAAATTAATAAATAGATATAAATATATAAAATAATTAATAAATAGATATAAATATATAAAATAATTAATAAATAAATATAAATATATAAAATAATTAATAAATATATATGAAAATATATATACAATACATGTCGTCATTGGTAGCGCACACCGCGGGAAAGACTCCGCCATCGATGGACTGCAAGAGGTCTTTCCCACAGAGTAGGAGAGATAGTACAAAATTCAATTATTATATATAAATTCTATTATATTCTTGAGAAAGAGGACAAATTAAACAAGAAAATGGAATTTGACACTGAGAAAATTCAAAAGAGAAAAACATGATAAAATATAATACTTAAAAGACCAAAATATCATCAAATAATTATTATTATTTGATATTATACTATTGTTTGACCTCACATTTCTCTTTACTCTCAGAAGGTTTTTAGATAGGGATGGTTACAATATTTTCACCTGCCTATAGTGTGTACACCAAGAGTTTTAATTTGTCTAATGATAACACATCTACGCATAAACCTCTTTGAGAATCAGACAAATAACTTAAAACGTTTTTAAAGGCGCTAAATATATGGGAAAATGATCGTTTTACGAAATAGATTTCAGAACAAAGCAAAATCATAAGTGATAGTAGTATTTTTTTTTATGCGTATAGTTTGATGTTATTAAAATATTAAAATATACAAGTATCAGAGTCATCAATCAACAATTCTGTCACCGTTTGCTTTTGTGAATGGAATAAATGCCCAAATATGGCCATTTTTTTATAAGCATCGGTGGTTCAGTGGTAGAATGCTCGCCTGCCACGCGGGCGCCCCGGGTTCGATTCCCGGCCGATGCATTTTTTTTTTACAATTTTTAAAACTCATTTATATTAATAAAATATATGTGCTTTTCTTGTCTATGAACAGATTTATGGTCTATGTACACGAGTATACAAGTTATTTGCAAATTGCGTTGCAAATTTGCCCTTACGCTCGCAAGCAGCGCCTCTAGCGGTGAAGATGGGAGGTAATATCAGCTGACCTAATGGACATGTAAAACGTGTTTTAACAGGACATAAAGAAAAATCTGGAAGAGATATTTTTCGGATTTTTAGTCAAGAAAAATAAATTGACAGGTTCTGGGAAAAAAATAGTTGTTTTTTATTCAGAAAATGATGATAATATTGCTGTATCATATTTGTTATCAGATACAAAATTATATCCGAAAAAGTTCCAAAAAGCAGAGACCACGTGTGAAGCCAGTTCATTTTTAGTATACAGGAACAAAATTCTAACAGAAAAACATTCATTCGAGCAGAAGACACAAAGCCAGATCATCTTTTATAAAAATATCGCTTCTCAGACAAAAAGTTTGGAGCGGGACGTTTCACAAGAATGACATCCACGGCGCCAATTTATAATTGTAACGAATAGTATTTGAATAAAAGCATTTAATCGGGTATAACCCGGGCGTTGCCCGGGTAATTCGGCTAGTACAAGTATCAGAGTCATCAATCAATTCTGTCATCGTTTGCTTCTGTGAATGGAATAAATACCTAAATATGGCCATTTATTATAAGCATCGGTGATTCATCGTTGAATGCTCGCCTACCACGCGGGCGGCTCAGGTTCGATTCCTGGTCGATGCATTTTTTTTTCACAATTTTTAAAACTCATTTATATATTTTTCTATATATAAGTATCCGAGTTATCAATTCTGTCATCGTTTGTTTTTGTGAAGGTATGTAAATAATGGATTTCATATTTTTCATTAATTTTTGTTCTGGCCTTTAATTGTTTGAATCTCTTTTAAAAAATCGTTTAAAATGCAGTCGCAATCATTACCGAACACATATGCTTGCCTAATATTTCCATATGCTCTTTTAATTATTACAGAAAAATATTTACATGCCAGTATTTTGGATTAATTTTTTTTATAAACCTTTTTTTTTTATTCTTACTGAGAAGATGGGCATCGCAGTAAGGATTCTTTACAGTCAGTCACTCAACTCAGGCAATTTCAAAGGTTAATGGGGGTTTGGTGGAAAAGCTGCCGTCTATTTAAACTATATTAATTTTGAAACAACTAAATGGATTGCAAAAAATAATTAAATCAAATACCTAAACACTAATATAATACAATTTTTGCCATTACACACTTTTTTCCTATAGTTTATGTGTTTCTTCTGTATTGCTATTATATGGCACTTATACTATTTATTATTGGTGTACTTTCTGTATGAAGGATACTTCACTCGGGGGATTTCTCGGGCGAAGTCTGGTCATTCTTCTAGTTATCTAGACCAGTGTTCGGTAAACTGCGGCTGGCGAGCCACATGCGGCTCTTTTAATGTGAAACTGCGGCTCTTTATATAGTTCATACACAAATATTATTTATGCGAGTATATATACTATTTATTATTGGCAATAAAAAACATTTTGTGGCTCTTTAAAAAAAAAATTGAAATTTTGTAAATTATAATTTTTGACTCATCCAACTCAAAAGATTGTCGACCCCAGATCTATACGAATAAGCATATTTGCCTTTATATGTTTCATGTAACATAAAATTTACATTTTAATAGGCCTTGGGGCATATTATCTTCATAAATTAAATATGGTCTGAAAACAGATTATAGAATGTAAATATTTTTTGAGAGAGAGAACTCAAATACCAATATTTGCTTCAACAGGTTGTGTATTATCTAAGTATTACCTTCTCTAAATATTAAACCGTTTTTTAATATGATGTGTGAGAAAAAAATTGGATCAATATTCAATTCAATATTTCAAAACTGATTTAAACCTTCTGATTGCATGTATCGCGTTAGAAATATGTTATTTATAAAACTCTAGGCTGACGAGGGTCATTAGCCCGAAACCATGGCCTCCAGGTTGACGCAGTTTGCCGAAGCTGGTGTTGTGACTTTGTCACCGACTCGAGGCCGCTAGTTTGCGGCGACGGTCAATAGATGACGTTTAGCTATGACGTTTATTTTGACGAGAGAGGCGTCCTTTATTTATATATATATTTGTGTGTCTGAATAGGGGCACCTCTCCCGCTTAAAATGCATAAAACAATTCATATTTCTTAGAATACGTACAAAATGCGCCACAATTTCAGCTATGGAAAATTCGAAATTCGGACAGAAGTCAATCTGTATACCAACAGCACGTTTCTGTACTAAGGTGATAAGCGAAATTCATTGTCTTGATGATTTCAATAGAGAGAGGTGCTCTTCGTGCTCATGTTTATCTTCCTATCGCAATACGAGGTGTGTTCAAAAAGTATCGCGACTTTTGAATTTTGCGGGTTACGTATATTCGAATTTCGATCTTTTTGTGGCTTTATGTTGGTACTCATGTCTCTCACCTATGCCGACAAGCTCGGCCATTTTGAATGGTCACTTAATTGTTGACAGCCGCTTTGCTTGCATGTGTTTTGGATCGTCTTCGATTTTTACCTATTAAAAAAATGGATTAAAGAACCTATATCAAATTTTGTGTGAAAAACGAAATTAAGTGCGCGGATGCATTCCGAATGTTGACTGTGGCATACGGAGAAGCTACCTTGGACCGAAGCAACGTTTATCGATGGTACAAAATGTTCTCAGAAGGCCGAGAAGATGTGAACGACGAAGAGCGTGCCGGACGCCCGAGCACTTCAACAACAGAAGAAAAAATTAATGAAGTGGAGAAAATGATATTGGCCAATCGTCGAATCACCGTTTGAGAAGTTGCTGAGGACCTAAACATATCGATTGGCTCGTGCCATTCGATTTTTATCAATGATTTGGGCATGAGACGGGTCGCCGCGAAATTCGTACCAAAATTGCTCAATTGCGACCAAAAACAGCATCGCATGAACATTGCTAATGAGATGTTGGACTCTGTCCGCGACGATCCAAATTTGCTCCAGAGGGTCATAACTGGTGACGAAGCGTGGGTTTATGGTTATGACGTGGAAACCAAAGCTCAATCATCTCAATGGAAGCTGCCGCACGAACCAAGACCGAAAAAAGCGCGCCAAGTTCGGTCGAATGTGAAAGTTTTGCTGACAGTTTTCTTCGATTGCAGGGGCGTGGTGCATCATGAGTTCTTGCCACAGGGTAGAACGGTCAATAAGGGATATTTATCTGCAAGTTATGCGCAATTTGCGCGAAGAAATCCGCCAGAAACGTCCGGATTTGTGGAAGAACAAAAATTGGCTTTTGCACCACGATAACGCCCCTGCTCACACATCGTTGCTTGTGCGCGACCTTTTGGCCAAAAACAACACACTAATGATGCCGCAGCGACCGTATTCCCCAGATCTGCCCCCCTGTGACTTTTTCTTGTTCCCTAAGCTGAAGAGGCCCATGAAAGGACGACGTTACGCTACGCTTGACGAGATAAAGACGGCATCGAAGGAGGAGCTGAAAAAGATTTCGAAAAATGATTTTTTGAAGTGCTTCGAAGATTGGAAAAACCGTTGGCACAAGTGTATAATATCTCAAGGGGATTACTTTGAAGGAGACAAAATAGGTATTCATGAATAAATAAATATTTTTTGAAAAAACACAAGAATCGCGATACCTTTTGAACACACCTCGTATATTTTAATTAATTAATGTTCCTATAAGTAAAACGCTTTATGGTATTATCTTTTGGAAAGCCTTGATATAGAATTCCACATTACATTTTAAGATATTTATTAAAATTAGAACGAATGAGGGAAGTTAATAAATGAATACATGATTAATTTATCAATATAGAAAAGTTCTATTGTTTTTTTTTTTTAATTCTAATCTATTTAATATTAGGATAGCGTTCCTATATATATAAAAGATTCAATATTAACATATCACATTGGTATGTTCAATTTTCTCTTTATTGTAAACTTTGGAAATTATTTTAAGAAGAGAGAACTCTGTTTACATTTAAAATGGCATTGTGATTAGGATCCCGTATTTGGTATTACTATGTTGGAATATTGTCATTTTTATTGTACCAGAGGCAACAATGTGGTTGTGTTTTTAAAACTCAATTCCAGAGGAATTCCCCGAGTTACCTAATAGGATTGTAAAGAGAAGGCTTTCTGCAAAAGACGTGACCGCGCTTGTGAAAAGGCAATTTACATTAAGTCGGTCTTTCTTAGGCACGAATTGTTATTGGAGTCCCAACAATCACTTACATGTAAAAAAGGATGTGGTTCTGTTTATAAATAACATTCCTTTGGAATCTTTATTTGAAATGATAACTGTACTAATTGTGTATATGCCTCATAATGAGTCATATAGAGTTAACACTGTGTGTAACTTATAAAGGAATTTAAAAAGAAATTATCTGAGAGAATTATGAAGCGATAGGAAGTTGTAAATAGAAGTAAGTTAGGCTTCCCCAGATCTTCTTCTTTTTTTTTCTCCACAGACTGGGTGAATTTAAGCCTTTTTCATTAAGAATGTGAGTAATACTCAGTTGTAGGTCGAAGAAAGGAACCGAGGAACCGACGCCGTGTGCAGCCGCTCTTAACTTGCAGTACAAAGGCTGCCTATCTCTATAGGACTCCTTACAGGGTACTATCAGTCGGCCCAGCTGAACCCAGATTTTTTAGCAAGCTTGTTACTGCTACTCCTCCTCCTTTTTCCAGGCTTCGGACCGGCAAAGGCGGAGTTGCTTTGTCAGATAACATTATCTAAGGCAATATCTTGCCTTCTTTCACAAATGTTAAATCAAAGGATCTTAAATATCACTGCTCTGTTTACATTCAAGGAAAAGTATAAAATTTCCCTGGCTTTTATGGTTATTAGGCAGGTTTAATTGACGCCGTAACTATCACACTAACTTCAGCTGGACCTCGGGCTTTCTATCCACAGGTTCTTTTTTTTTACACTTGTCTCTCGAATAGGCCTTGCCACTTCTACCTTTACTGCTTGCAACTCTCTAAATTATTATAGTGTAATGCTTGATAAGTTTTTTATATTAAATCGTTTATCTTGAAATAATATTCGAAACCATTATAGATGCGTATGATTCTTTTAAAAATTTCAAAAATACTACTGCCCTTGCTGCAATGGCATTGTAGTAAGAAATTGTTTAAATTTTTAATAGATGGCGCGCTAATGTATCATAATTGAAGCAATATTAATTAAAAAAAAAAACAGATTTTGTTCTTCAGAAATCTGAAATATTTACCTGTTGTAAAATTAGAAACACATCGAAGCATCGTCCTTATCTTTTGGAGGTAATCTCTTCAAATATTTTGATTATCTCTATAATAATACACATTAAGGCGTCTTTATTGAAGTCTTATACAGAATCTAAATATAGTAAAATGAAGCAAGAAAGGAATTAAAACAAGGATGAAGACTGTAATTCCATCACATTTAATAGTTGATTCTATATACAATTTTTCGAGACCTATTATTTCGCATATCCAAATAGAAAAAGGAAAAATTGAAATATTGAAAAAGAACAATAAATATTCATTCATACGTATATCTACATATTGACAAAGATATTTGGAAACAGAAAGAGATCAAATGATAAGTTTACCGAGTAATAATCTCCTGAAACTTTTCCCTCTCCTCATTTGATCATTTTTCAAATGTTCCTCCTGTGAAAGGAAAGAACAGTTCTCTCGTTAAAATGAACGCTAAATAGTGTGTCA